CAAAGAAGAAAGTACAGTTGCCTGCTCTAAAGATACACATGGCATTTTAAAGTTACTAATTAAAGTAGAGAAGTTAACATGCTTCTTCTCCCTTTGTTAATTGTAATAAATTAAAAATGTATAACAAAAGTGTGGCAGATTAAAAGTAGATAAAAAGAAAATTATAAAATACCGATTTTACAACTTCTTTGTAATGGACGACCTCATGTACTTCTGAAAAGAAATTTTTTTTAAAAAATCTTGCCAAGAATTGTAGCTGGAAAATTTTTAAGTCAGCATTATGCCTCAATATTTTTATACATTACGTTTTTGTGACTTTAAAGCAATGATCATGGCCAAAAATTCCATAGATCTTTTGACACATCATTCTCTGGAAAACAGTGAAAAGTTGATACGGGTATGTTCTGTAACAGCCAGGAATGGAAGCCAAAAGACTACTGAAACTGTTGGTGGCTTCTTTCACAGTGAGAGAGTCAGTCCTAAGAGTAGCAATATTTCTGTTAAACATTTTTTTGTGTGTGTGCTTTACTCCTGTGTAGAAAAGTACGTGTATTTTTTAAGCTACTGCTTTTAAAGCTGCCCTTTCATTCAAGACTTTTATCTGAAATGCTGTTGGGTACGTTTTCTCCCACCATTACAAGCAAGAAACAGAAATCACACAAGAACACGTGAACAGTGGTGGAGTTAGAAACCCTGAAAATGTGAAATATAAATAGCAAGTGTTGGGATGAATATAGATCAAACCAAAATAATTGTAATTTTAGCCTCTGTAGTACAGGTGACTGATGTGTTATCAGGGGTTTGATGTATATTGGACATCAGTGAAAGAGAGTTCTCAGAGCTGATTCCAGTCCCTTCCTTACTTTCATACATGACCAGGGCAGCAAGTAGTGGCTCAATCCCTTGCCTGTTTAGAGTTTCATTCTCTTAGTAGTTAATCAGCAGGCAAAAAATAAATTACTTTGACACTAATAATAATGTTTACAATGCTTGTTTTTAAATTCCCCCATTAAAGAAAGAAAGTAGAACGTTGCATGTGTGATAAATTTCTCAAAGTTGTTACTGGTGTCCTATTGTTATAAAGTGCCTCCATAACAGGGGTTTACATTGAAATAATTTTAAACCATATTTTCATGGATGTAATAACTTCTATTTTTAGAACATAGCAACTAGTTCAAAAAGTTAGTGTAATTAAAAGATAGTTACATATATTTTAACCTGACATAATAGTCTTTAAATGATGCAGGATGAAAGTGTTAGCAGTTGTATGATACAATTGCAAATTGCATTCAGCATTCTCTCTCATAGATTTTATTATGGAAAGCACTTAAATAATAATGCTATATTAGCACATAGGCACTGTATTATTGTAATCATCATAGTACAAAGAGTCACGAAAACAAGTTATAAAACTAATTTCTCTTCACAAGGCGTCACAAGTTAACACTTGAGCTCTGCACATCAGTAAAATGTCTTGCAACTTCGAAAGTGCTCTGTCAATTCCATTAAAGTGCTTATTGTTGAATAATCTTAAAGCATGCAAACAAAATTTCAATCCTGTGTGTCAGATATTAGTTTCTTTTTGTATTCAAGACTATTTTATTAAACATGTCCTCTGTAACTTGTTATAGAGTGTTAATTGCAGTCAAATTTTGATCACACAATTGTAGTTGAGCATGTGAGAACAATACTTAATGATCATGTTACTGGTGTTTTCTATGAACCCCAGTAGAAATTGTACATGCTGATTCTGATTTATTTGCTCAAAATAAGAAATTTGAATTGTATTGAAGAATTTTTCTGTCACTAATTATAGTTCTTAAAATGTCTTCCAGTCAGAAGTCAAATTTATTATGAAGCTTTGGTGATAAACAAATTGTTAACCAATTGTCAGTTTCCTTAGGTTCATTAGAACGGTGAACTTTAACAGATCCAAATGATCAGAAAGCCAGCTTTACAGTTTCCTTCTTCAATTTTTGAAGGATTGTAAGTAGAAGATTGTTTTACTTTGACAAGAATATCTTCATTATGTTAAGGTAATTTTTACTTAAAGTTGCACTAAACAAAATTACTTACTTGACTAAAAAGCACTTAAATATTCTAGGTGTAGTATCTACAATTAAGAAACAGTTGTAATTTAGCACTCTACCAATGAGAAAACATGAAATTACGTGTGGGAAGACTCCCCAACTTCCACTCATTTGGAAGTGAACCCCCCAAATGCTTAACACATTAAAAAAACTAAAGGGAATGTAAAAATGCAAATCTTTAAGGTAAATAGAGATTTGTTTGGGTCAAGACCTTTGTGAAAAGCACAAGATCTTCGTGTAAAACAAAAGTGTTTCTCTACATCACATGGTTACAAAAAATATCTGGGAAATGTTCATTTGTAAAGATATAGTTTGTTTATAGTTAAATAAATTCTTCCAACACTGAACTGACTTTAAATGATCCAGAAGTCAACATAATTCTTAAGCATTTTCTCAGTGAATTGTCTCAATAGATACTTTACATAGTGTTCCTTTAATAAAATATTGTTTAACTTTGTAAAATTTTAAACATATAGCATGTGAATGTTTTTGTATATCATGTAAGTTGTACGTCTTACCTCATATATGGAGTTACATGTGAAAAATATGTCAAGGAATTAGCAATTTTAATTTTGTTTCCGCTTTCCTTTTTTAAAAATATTAATACTTTTTATATCATAGCTTTTCAATATTGGAAAATAGCTTCTGAAGTCTGCCCTATTTAATCATTTGATTGCTTAATGCAGATTAACTTTTTTAAATGTCCATTTAGATTATTTGTTAGTGGATAGGTAGGTCTAAAGAACATTCCACAATTAAGAAATTTTAAAGCAGGAATTCTCGTAATTTTATGAAAAATTTTAAGGTGCAAGACTAGAATTTTAAATAGCCCTCATTTTTCTGATCAATCGCTAAGAAATTATTTACCTGAAGATTTTAGCTTGTTGTTTTGTTGTGTTTTGTTTTGTTTTCCCTGTTCCATAACCTTAGCAGGTTTACAATTAGATCTTGCATACATTGAGGAAAGTTGAGCGCTCTAAGTATTTTGTTAATGCGCCTATCTGCAGTATAAATCGGCTGTGCCTTTGCTTGCAGCTACCCTCAACCTCATTACAGATACCTATTACATTCCTTCCTCCGTGCTGTAATGAGACTGCTTGCTGCAGCCTGATCTTCCGTGCTGAATTTAGTTTAAAAGTCTAGCAGGCTTTATGGGCTGCGAGCTCTAACTTCTTTTCCCCTTCAGATGGTTTAGCCAGTTAAGAAAATGCTAATTGAATGCTGCTAATAATTTTTTAAAGGCATGTATAAATTACCTGGAAATAATGGCCTCATGGAGAGCAGCAGACTAGCCTCAAAAAATATTTTTATTTCTTTTCCAGGAGAGAAAGCAATGTACTTTTTCTGGGGTAGTTTTTTTAAATCAGGTTTCTCTGCCGAACTTAGTGCTAAATTTTTTTTCCAAAACCCTAAAAGAAAAAATAGAGAGTTTTTAGCAAAGCCATGTGTTGATGGTAGAACATTAAATTATTTCCGGGGACACAGACTTAGGGAATGTTTTTTTCTCACATTCAACTATGCATGTTTAACAAAGAGCTGATTTGCAGCTGTCATTCGGCTCTGTTCAAACTGATTTGTTGCTGTCACTCCATCTGTAAGTTGACAAAAAGCAGCTACAAGTCAGCAATACCCAGGCTGGTACAGAGAGCCAAGCAGTACCTGGGCAGGACTGCACAACCCTGCTATCCGAAAGGTAGCAGCCATAAGTGTGATCATGTGTCCATGTTTCATTCCTGTACACCTCTTTATTTGATCAGGTGTGAATTAGAGTTGTTCATTAAACACGGTTGTTATTCGGCACAAGAGGGTAAGGGGAGACAGAGGAAGTGGCTGCCTACAACAGTAATTAAACATGTGTAACCAATTAGAGGGTTTTCCACTATGGCACAAGCATATAATTTGCTAAGTCTTTCTATGAGAATAGATGAAAATAGGTACAAAAAGTGTGTCTGACTACAACATTCTCATGTTAAACATGTCAACATAAATGAACTTTAAATATATAATTTCTAGTTTGTTAATAAATCCCTAAACTCTTTTGGCTAATCGCAATAACATGTAATTTTAGTTCATTTTGCCAAGAAATATTGCATCTGACAGAGCCAATTAATTATATTAAACATGATTCATTTTAGACCTAGCTTATATCAATAGTCATCTGGTAAATCTAAAATGTAGAAATGTGTTTCTTCTATAAGGGAAGTCAGAGACAAAAAGATGCAAGTAGATTGGTTACTCAAACTCTTAAGTCAGGAGAGATTGTTTTTCTCGGCAGAAATGTAAGAAGTGCTTATATTTTCTTTGTTACATTTACAAATGAAAGTATTTAGCCGAAATTTCCTACATGAAAGAAATGCCTATTGATTCCCAAGGTTCTATAGAATTACTTTAGATCTGTACCGCCTCAGCCCTGCATAAAGATAATAAATCCTAGCAGCAGCCGAGACCACACCAGAGTGCAGGCAGCTCCCGTCAAGTGCTGATGCGCTGGGGAGGTTGTGGATTAGTTCAGCAATGTTAAGTGTACTGGCAGAGGCATCTGTAATTTCACTGGAAATGAGGAAGCCCGATGGTGAAGGGGAGCTCTAATGAGCCCATCGAAGCTGGCTTTGTACCCAACAGACAGGGTGGCTGCAGATTGTATGAAAATATTGGAAATCAATGGCTTCTATGGAATTTCATTAAGAAGCAGTATCCACAATTGATAGAGCCTCATAATTTGATGGATTGTGCTAAGAAAATGATTAGCTAGCTAGAAAGAGTCATAGAACACACACGCTGGGACGTCAGAAATGTTGAAGTGGGGTAATTTGTACAAAATAAAAAATATTGATTTTACTTATGGGCAAAATTTTGAAACGGAGGGTGGCTGCCTGGCAGGCCGGTTGATGTCATCCCTTGGTTTCCTAGGCGTCCCCGGGGAAGGTGCAGACGACGTGGACAGCGGGAACGAGAGTCGAAGTGGCGGTGAGGAGACCAGTGTGTGTGAGAAATGCTGTGCAGAGTTCTTCAAGTGGGCGGATTTCCTGCAGCACAAGAAGAGCTGCACCAAGAATCCACTGGTGCTCATTGTGGGCGAGGATGAGCCTGCACCGCCTGCCGAGGAGTTTCCCGAAGCTTCCCCTACCAGCTCACCCAGTGAGCGTGCTGAGGCTGAGAGCGAGGCCACAGAGGAGGCCACCCCAGCTGAGGGTGAGGCGGGCGAGGCCCAGGTGCCAGCACGAGAGCTCGAGCCTATGGACGTAGAGGGGCCCGGGGACAAGGGCAGCACAGGCCCGGGCGCCCCTGCCCCACCACCCCCAGCCCTCGGCCCGGGCCCCGAACCCACCACACCCACCTTCTGGAGGCCC